ATTTACTGTACAGAGGTAACTCTTGGTTGCTGTGAAGCTGAACACTGTGACAATGATGTATCAAATACAATAATGGTTACCAATGGTGGGCAGTGTTTGGTGGAGCTCCCCAATTAAAACAAGCTTGGAAGCAGGAGCAGCATCCGCTTCCAAAATAGCTTGTCTCAGAAACTCTATGAATGTGGAGAAATGATGAAAGTTATACAGGTGCCCAGGTCTTTCGTTCATAGGGTCACTATGAGTCATCTATGACTTGACAGCACTTAACAACAACACAACAATGATCACAGCATAAGAAACTTTTTTTCTTTTTCTGTTCCCTTTCAGTCCAGATTTTGTTCCAGAAGGAAACTTCAGTGTGGTTCTAGTCCAAGTCTAACATCTCTCTTACTTGCAAATGAGTTTTCTCACAACGAGAAAGTCAACCAGGAGATTCAAAGCCTTCTGGGTATCCCTCCCCTCCCTACTCCCACACAGAAGGGGGAAAGGAAAGAAAACATCTAGCTATCATTTTAAAACCTCGATTTGTTCACTCTTTATACAGTCGTCTTTTCTTCAATACAAGCAACACTGGCTTTCTAGTAATGTTGGAAACGTTGTGTTTTCTTCTAAAGAACATTTGTTTGCTTCACACAATATGTAGATTTAAAGAAATCTTATCTACCAAATCATAGCCTGTAGCTGGCAAGAGTTACTAGGATGCTACGTAGATGATTAAAGCCTGGAAAACATCAGACTGGTGGAAAATACACTGAGTGAGATGACAAGAAACTTGATTGCTAAATCGAATTCTCATCCTGTCACTAATTATTGGCTTGTTCTTGTTCAAGATGATGAATCTGTCATGCCTTCATTTCCTCATTATCCAATAAGTGTACTAATATTTGCCAAGCTACCTTTCAAGTGATGATGTGAGATTAAAGTTAAATGATGGATAGTGAAGTCCTAGAAAAGTTGAAAATTGTATGTACATAAATTTCCTTATTATGTATTTGAAATCACTCTTCTCCCTCTCTCTCTCTTTTTTTTTACTCTCCTAGCCCAAAATACAAGATTAAAATCACTTAAGAAGGATGGTATTATGTTTGTTTTCTTGCTGAGATCTTGCCCCAGAGAGGGGGTGTGTGTAAGAGAGAGAGATTGTCTTCAACGACACTGTTTGGAGATTTTATTCTTCCTAAATACAAAGCTGCGGTTGTCTTGTTCAGATTTATTGTATCCATTTACTTTCACTATTTTCTTCAGTGATAAAGATGAGAAGCTTTAAAATTCAATTATGTTTTTTTTAAAATGAACCTCAGTGTACATTTTATTCATCTTAAGCTTAATAAAAAATATTATGATCTGCCTATAGATTTGGAGATGCTAAAAATAATGGAATTTAGCTGCATACCAAAGCTGACACTTAATCTGAATTAATATTGGAAGCTTGTTTATTGTATATTTTTATTGCACTTAAAACCTTGAATTTTCACTGTAATACAACTCCTCACAAAAGAGAGCTGCCTGTTACATAATGTGATTTTCTACAGACTTCAGAATGCCTTGTTTTCTAATGTTTTTCTTTTTTTTAAAGTAAAAATGCTGTTTGGGTTTAATATAGTGATTTAGTAAAATATCAGATATAGTTTATTGTCAGTTAATGAATCATCAAATTTAGTACTGTATTTTGAGTCAAGCATGCACATTAATTTCTGACTTGTCAGTTCATTGTATAAAATATATCCAGGTACATATAAGCATAGGCGATCCCTCCCAGGTTGCCACCTCTGTAAAACCTATAATATTAACTATTTGAGGTACACACAGTGGTTCCTAATAACTAATGGATGCTACTCTGTGATGTGCACCAAAACATCATTACCGTCATTATTATTGTTATAGTAGTATTATGTTAGACATGTTTTAGTGTCTCAAGGGTGTCTTTAAGTGCTTTTATTCATCGAAAAGTAGACTTAGGCAAACATTTCAATAACTGGCTCTTTGACTTAAAGACAGACTTGGAAACGGATCTCATTGGTAATCCAGGGACTGGATGTGAGCAATTGTGGTTTCATTTTCATGCCATTAAGCAAAGCCTATTTAAGCGCTGCTGCTGCTACTGCAGAATTAGGAACTCTAGACACCCTCTCCTCATTCCTATATAAATATTCATGCAGGGAGTACAGTAGTGATCCTTAAACTTGAATGGTCATCAGAAGCACCTCTGGAGAGCTTGTCAAAACTCTCCAGATTGCGGGGCCCCATCCACAGTTTGTGATTCTGCAGGGCTGGAAGGGAGCCAGAACATTTACATTTCTAGCAGATTCTCAGTGGTGCCAAAGAGGTGTAGGTCTAGTGGGAGGCTGGACAGCAGAGTGGGAAAGGCGCGAATTTTGGAGATGGATACAGATGTCAGCACTGGTTTTGAAGCTTGATAGCTATGGACCTTGGACAAGCGAGAGACCAGCTTTACCATTTGTAAAATAACAAGTAATGTTTTCTGGGCATATTGATTGGACTGTGGTAGTTGTTAGGGGCTGTCAATTCAAGTACAAGTCACAATGACCCTGTGAACAAAAGACCTTACTTCTCTCCTATCCCGTGACACCCTCATCATCTCTGATACACTTGATAAAGTGCTGAGAGCAATACAATGAGTACACACTGAGCAGAACATTGCTAACTAGTGTGAAACCAAGTCTCTCCTTGGAGGGTGGGATTTTGAAGCTCCGCCTCGCGTACTCTGGACATGTGGCCAGGAGACATCGGTCCTTGGAGAAGGAAGGGTGGATGGACAGCACAGGAGTGGAAGACCCCGGATGAGATGGATTGATACAGTGACTGGAGCAATGGGGGCAGTTGTGTTGCATTTGTGAGACTGGCTCAGGACAGGGAAGGGTTCCGAGCTGCTGTACATAGGGTCGCTATACATCACAGGCAATTCAATGGCACCTAAAAACACTAACTATGACAGGTGTGGAAGCAGGAGTGGCATCCACTTCCTAAACAACTTGCCTCCGGAAACTCTATGGACTTTGATAAATGTCGATAGTTGTAGAGGGGCTTCAGGCCTTTTGTTCATAGGGTCGCTATGAGTCATGCTTGACTTGAAGACAATCAAGAACAAGTGGGGATTGTGGTCAACAGAATCGGTTGCAGAAACAGTATTTAATGTTAGCCGAGAAGAAAATACACATTAACCTGATTTAATCACATTCGTTTTATTAGCTTTTTCTGGAATAGGCTGAGCAGAGAGCCCTTCCCTCTTGGAAATGATTCCTTCCGTGAGAAACATTCTGAGCAAGAAGAAAAGTCAATGAAAAGAAGCGTGTGTCCCTGGGGGATGCACGTTTAAGAGCTTGTTGGGGAATGGAACTGAGATTACGGTTGAAGCAAATGTTTGTGAAATAAGTTTCTTAATGTTCAGAATAAACTACTTTTTTTGTTTCTTCTCTCCCTTCCCTTAGCAACAAGAACAAGACCCCACCAACCTGTACATCTCAAATCTCCCCATTTCCATGGACGAGCAGGAACTTGAGAATATGCTGAAGCCCTTTGGACATGTCATCTCCACCAGAATACTGAGAGACGCTAACGGAGTCAGCAGAGGTGTTGGCTTTGCCAGGTAAACCGTTTGCTCTGTTTGTCGTCAGTCCCCATGGTTCTCTTCGCATTGCATTTGTGTCTTGTAGTGGAACCCAGAATGAGAAGATGCGGGAGGCCGAAACACACTTTATCAAAGCATCTCTCTTTCGATCACTCCCTGCTTCCAGCCAAAGAATTCCAGAGTAATTGCAACGACATTGCACTTGCTGAAATATGTCCGTAGAATGTTTCTATGCATCTTGAGTCATAATGAGATGCACACTCGGTTGCTAGGTCCCTCTGTGTCTGTAGATCAACCAAATCAGACGCTGCCAGTTTCTGCAGGGGAGAATGAGTGCTCAGAACCTCAAAGCAGAAGGGCCCAGGTGGTGAACAAAGCATCCAAATGTTTTCACATGGCTTTACCAGGAAGAGAGGTGATGGGATTTCTCAGCATGGAGAAGAGGGGAGAGATTTAGCGAAACATGAAGCATGTGGAAGTCCCAAGGAACCCAGACATATAAGAGGAGGTCAAGGGGGCTATTTGCATTTAAGAGGTTCTCACTGTGTGTTGTGTTTGATATTTTAGGCAAGCAAATTCCTTGTCTCTCATTGTTGGGGGGAAAAAAGAGGAGTTTTCATTTTCACTTTAAGGGAATGTTTACAAAAGATAGTCGTGCCAGGAATGAAGTTAAAATGGTTATACCTGCTGTGCTTCCATAAAAAACTAAGCTCTGTGAGAAAGAAGCAAATCAAAAGCCTGGGTCCAGGGTTCGTGGATGCTTATGTCCAGCTGACTCCCCATGTTTGTTTGCTGTAGATAGTTTGTCTGTCTAGAATCCATGGATGTAGGAAACCATTACAAACTGCCTTCCGTGAACTTACCTTCAAGGGGCTTCATTTGTATTCTAAATGCCAACTTATGTCTAACCTGATGTCCTTGAAGTCAAGGACCATGTCTTGAAATCCATTTCATTCTCTAGCATTGGGTGCCCTGGTGGCTTATTGGTAAGGAATTTTACTGACAATATAAAAGTATGCAGTTCAAATCTACCAGGTGCTCCACAGGAGAAATATGGGCGATCTCCTGTGCTATTGGCTGGCTAAAAACCCACTGGAGGGTTAGCTCCCAACTCAGTCACAAAACAACAACAACAAAATAGTTTACACAGAGGAGACAGGTAGGTACATATACAAAGTGCATTCTTGATGCTTCGACTAGAAGCAAACAGAAGGCTGGAAACCTCCCTTAAATTGAGTAGATTTCTGAGACAGCCTTTATTTAGATCACTGAGAACTTTTGCTTTGCATGGTCGAGGCAGAGCTTATGACAATATATGGGTCTCTGAATTTTGGCAATCAAGTTTTTCCTCAAGAGTGACCAACTTGCTATGGGAGGTTTGATCACTCTAGGAATTCAGAGGAATGAGAATGACCGATCTCATTTTAGACAACCTACAACTTCCTCTACTTCTTCTGCTCCCCAGTTCAACTACCCCCCACCCACCAAAAAAAAAAAGAAACAAATGCTTCTGGACAAATGATTTCTCCCTTATTTGTGTTCTTGCTGAAACCTGGACATGTGTCTAGTTCCTCCAGACAGCCTGCTTTCTAAGACAACGCTAATGATAGAAATGACGCATTTTCTTGCTCCAAAGGAGAGGTTAGTTTTGAACCTCTTTCTTCTGGACACAGAGCTCGCCTCAAATGAGACACTCAAGTGCAGAGCCACGTAATTAATGTGCATTTGTAAAGGCAAAAACGGTATTCAGGGCAGAGGATAGCGTGAAATGATAACACTTAAAAAGGCCGTTTTCTTTAGAAGAATGAGGATTTAAAAAATTATCTTATGCTTGATCTGAAAGCAGCCTCTCCATCCATGGTGGGTTTTGTATGTAACAGCAGCAGTAATCACTTAAAAATGCAGAGTGGATCACGCTAGGGGCCTGCTCAGAGCCCTGTGGTAAAGAGAAGGATTTGACTTGATAGTCCAGCTTCATTCCTGATCTTCCCCAGTTTCCTGGCCTTGTGTCCTTCTGCCTCCTATCAAGAAAACAAGTCAGGAAACAGCTCTTGCTCTGACTTCACTGTCCTCATACCCTGGGCTTGGGCTGATGTGTCATTTCTTCAGAGATGCCTTCACTGACCTGCAGCCCCGGCCGAGAGACAGTTTCGGATGCTATTGTTTCAGCTGCTGCACGAGTTTTTGGTGGTGGCTGTTTGCGTGGTTTTTTTTCATTTTTGGTAAAATTTATCACCATTGTAATCAATTAGATATTGATCCATTTGCTTACTTAAGGTCAGTATTCACTGATTAGATTGTACTTGCCATTAAGTTAGGGACCATGTCTGCCTTTTTCATTTGAGGGTAGATTGGTAATTGTTTAATTACCATTCTGTGAAATTTCTGAATGGCTCAACTCAAAACAAACCATGGGTTGTGAAATCTGTGCCTGGATCCCTGGCTCATGAGATGCCATGCTTTACCAATCAGCTACATCTCCAGACCCTAAACCCTGGATTTTGAATATGAACTCTTAGCAGTCAGGTTCCAATGCTGAAATTTAGTCTTAGTACATGAAATAACATATTTTCCAATTTTAGAAGGTAGAATGTTATTTGAAAAAAGAAAACACAGCTTGATGTCAAGATAATTTCTTCTACCTAAGCAAGCAGTTGATGTTATATGGCACCAGGCTGGAAATGACTCCCAGCTGACCCTCTAGCAGGTTTCAAAAGCTGTAAATCACATGGAAAGAGATTGCTCATTTTTCTTCTAGGGAGCAGCTCGGGGGTTCAATCCTTATGTTTGTGGCCTGGCAGTACAACTGTGTTAGGGCACCAGGGCTCTCAGTTTTGTAGAGCAGATGGAAAACTGATACACAACACTATTTCACGCTTCATCTTTGTTCAATATTAAATTGTAAAGAGAAGGATCTTATGTGATGTATCTAGTTTGGTGGGACTGTTGTTATTGTTGTTGTTGTTATGTGCCATCGAGTTGCTTGGTGCGACTGTTGTTGTTGTTATTTAATGCCATCGAGTCATAGACGACTCATAGCGACCCTATGAACGAACAGCCTGAGCACTGTTCGTACATTGAGTTTCCGGAGGCAAGCCATTTTGGAAGTGGATGCCGCTCCTGCTTCCAGGCTTGATTTAGTCGGGAGCTCCAGCCAACACTGTCCACCATGGGTGCCCATTACCACGATTGGCACATCACTGTCACAGGCTTCAGCATCACAGCAACCACGAGTTACCTCTGTACAGCAACGCACAGACCAGTGCTATACCACCTAGAAGAATGTTTCTCAGTTTCTTGGTGGGACTAGTTTCCTTTAATTTTAGCTGTACTATAAGCACATTGATCTGCCCAGATTCCTACTTGTTCACACCGTTTAACCTTTGGGTCATTTATACCTTAAGACCTTTCCCCACTCAGCCTTTTTCAATGTGTGTTTCTTCAACGAGCCACACAAATAGTTTGAGTTATTTTCTGTTTGTTGAATAATGGTACATACTAGTGAGAAGAATTACTAGAGTCATAGATTCATAGAGTGGTTGAGTAGGGACAGTGGTTCTTAAAGTGGAGCTCCCGGACCAGCAGTATCCGCATCACCTGGGAACCTACTGAAAATACAGACATCAGGAGCCCTCCTGGATGTGTGCACTAAGTAATTTGGCCCAGTGATCTGTGTATTAACAAGCCTGCTAGATGCTCCTGGTTTATCAAGTGTGAGAACCATTGTTTCAAATCATCCCAGGACTAGGGGGAAGTGTCTCATTTCATGGCATTTCACTTTACTGTACTTTGTCAATACTTTTTAGAACTTGAAGGTTGTGACCACTCTGTGCTGACCAAGTCTGTCAGTGGTATTTGTCCCACAGAACAGGCCCACTTCATATCTCGCTGTCATATTTTGGTAATTCTCACAATATTTCAAACTTTCGTTGTGCTATTTCATACTCCATAGACTGTAGCATTGTGTAAGCCATTATTATTGTAGAGACGTGGCTTTTATATGCACTCAAAACTCATTGTCGTGTGGTCAGAAAAGAGGCACAGTCGACCTTCTAGTGGGTTTTCAGATGCCTCAAGTTGCGAGAGAGGAGATTGCCTATCTTTCTACCTCCCACCCTGAGCAGTTGGTGGGTACGAACAGGTCTTTGAGAGGGCAGTGTGACTCCATACTTACAGGCCTCCAGTGCTCCCTTTCAATTGTTGTTGTTGTGGACCATCATGTCAGAACTGACCCTCAACTGACCCTACAACAGGTTTTCAGAGGCAGTAAATCACCAGAAGGATTGCTCACCCTTTTCCCTCAGGGCAACTGATGGATTCGAACTGTCTGCCATTGGCACCGCAGCACAGCTTTTTGCCACCAGGTCACCGGAGTTCCCTGGTAAATGAAATCTTTTTGCATCACTTTTTTAAGATGTTTGCTTTATTGTGGTGATCTGGAAGTCAACCCACACATCTCCAAAGTGAGTCTTATTACTACCCCCACTCCTAGAGTTTCTGATTCAGCAGTAATTTGCATTTCTAACAAGTTCCCAGGTAATGCTGACCCTGCAGATCTGAAAATACGATTTATGATGGCCCTCAAGCCATCTCTGAATTTTCCAGATGGAATTGATTTCTATTGTGCTTCTATCACAGTGCACCACTTTCTCAAAATGTAGTCATGAAAAATGAGTCTGGCTCCTTTCTTGTTCCTCAAAGAAGTCTCCCTTGGCCCTCCTCACCTATGTTCCAGAAAACTCAGTATTTCCTGGCCTGTAATAATCCTTCAGTAGATTTTATTATGAGGATTACACGAATTGCTCTGTTGTGACTGTTTGACTCTAGCAAGACATAGAGAGGCAACTTTTTACGTTGATGTTGTTGATTGATTGCCTTCAAGTCGAGCAAGACTCAGCGATCCTATGAACAAAAGGCCTGAAGCCCCTCTGCCCTATGGACATTTATCAAAGTTCAGTTCATAGAATTTCTGGAGGCATGTTGTTTAGGAAGGGGATGCCACGCCTGCTTCCCAGAGA